GTAAGTTTTTGCTTTGCAACCTGGCATTTTTTTTATAATGTACAACGCATAGGTACTTATATTCTTACTAAAAATAACCGTGCAGCAGATCGAAATTACCTATAATAATAATAATATTGGTCAATATTACAAATACGAAGTTAGTAGGTAGGTATTGCAAATTACAACAAAAATTACATTCACGATACACAAAGTGAAGCGCTACTAAAATTTGGTATGTGCAAAGCTCTCATACCTACTACATACATATATCGCCCCTTGCGGGGTAGGCAGAGCGTAAACGGCATGGCAGTAAAAAACGGCCATTTACACCACACATAGCGGACATACCTACTATTCATTCATTATTCGTAGTTATACACTTATTTAATTTAATGCTAATAATGTATGAACCTAGGTAGGTATATTTGCTATCTTTCATAGAAAACAATAAAGATTAGACCGAGACGAATTAATAAATAAAGATAATAAAAAACGCAATACTTTTGCTAACAGCCTGTATAAAGAACAGAACAAGTAAGTATTTTTTTTATTTACTGACGTGTCCGTAACACAAACATCGACTCATCGCATGCATTGTTATGCGTAATGTTTAGAAAATGTTTTGACATTTCTAGAAAATAGGTAGTCATGCACTGTATGGAATATTATGGTAATGAAATGACTGTACCTAAGTAGGTACATGTAGTTCTCGAAACCTCCTTTTGAGTATTTGAGAAACCCCAGTATTTAGCTAGTATGCAGTGCGGATTTAATTAAGAATGTTTTTGTTTCTGCATGTTTTTCGGCGTGTTTAGTATATGCGTATGACAGACGGATGCGTTCGCGCGCTGCGCTAAATGCGCTAAACGGTTGCGTGTGGGCCCCGCCTGTGTTATACGGGTTGTAAGTTTAAGCTCTCCAAATACTGATAGGATGTATACCGGGAGTAACGGAAAGGGTATAACAAGCCGAAAGGAGGTTAAGGTACTCATGAAACTGAACAACTTTCCCCATGAAACATGGGTCGAAATATGTAAAGAAAAAATCCCCATGAAACATGGGTCGAAATATGTAAAAAAAAATTTGGACCTCCCATAGTAAATCAATCAGCTGATCGGAGATTTTGTATGGGAGGTCCAAATTTTTTTTTCATATTTCGTCTCATGTTCCATGGGGAAAGTTGTTCAGTTTCATGAGTACATTGACCTCCTTTCGGCTTGTTATACCCTTTCCGTTACTCCCGGTATATAGGCCATGAATGAAACTGAACAACTTCCCGTAAGAAAATATTTCAGGAGGTGAACCTTTGACCTTCCATACAGAATCACGAAAGCTGACTGGATTCACTACGGGAAGTCAAAATATTTTTTCGTTACAGTTTCCTAACATTATCGCCAAATTATGACGGAAAAGCAGCATTTACCAGCCGTAGCTCTTTTCCTTTCGAAAACAATATGTAATTTCTTGTTACATCACAATCGATAATAATCAATACCCAATATAAATGACGCACGGACAATGGAAATAACTCTATCATTAACTCTACAACGAGCTTGTCAATTAAACTACTATTATAATTTCATTAATGTCACTAATTTTGCTCGTTTGAATCCTATTTAAAATTACTAGTGTTGCCTAGATATCGATATCTTCTGTTTTAATATACTTTGAAAAATACGGGGTATGTATGAAAACTGTCTGTTATACCCACTTTAAAAGATATAGCGGGAGTTACAAAAGCAGGTCAAGCTACTCAGGAAACTGAACAACTTTCCCCATAGAACATTGTTCGAAATATGAAAAATGAACCTCCCATAGTAAATCAATTAGCTGATCGGCAATTTTGTTATACCCTTTCTGTTACTCCCGGTATTACGTACTGTACACGGGATGTTTGCAATATAAATTAATGAAAATTTTCACAACACGTAAAGTAGAGTCTGCTGGACATATAGCCCCCCAGAGTTTCCTGCGCTACAAGGCCCGACCTCCAGCTGATTTTTTCAGTAATTGGTCCAAGTTGGAGGGCGTCTAACGCTACACTTGCCGACGAATGAAAAATTACATTCATACATGCCTACATACATAAATATCACACCTATATCCCTTGCTTGGAGTAGGCAGAGCGTAAACGGCTACAAAAAAGGGCCACTGACACTACGTCTGACAAAACCTTTAGAGTCAGAAGACCGTGTATCAACAGTGACTGAGACAGGTTTTTCTGCCAGTCGCCTAAAATAGCAATACACGTCGTCTCTCAAATCTCTTGGTCGCTTCTTGTGACACCCACGGGAAAGATATGGAGCGATGCTATTCTAAGCCGGCACTAAACGGCAATTATTAGTTAAATGATGGAAAATTACAAAATTCATTTTATTATCACGTGATTTGACGTGATCGTGGATGACGATCGCATCACTATACTTAATCTAATCCTTTAAGGCGTCAATTCTCACGTTTTTTCCGAACAGCAGCATTAAAGTTTCTCATAAATGTTCTGAAACGTGATAGAATGAAGGATGAGAGTGGAAAGATGATATTGAAAGATTATCAACGCTGACGTGTTACAAATGACATGCTCGATAGAAAGCGTGTCGTTCCATTTTTCTTCAAAGCACGTTCCACAATGTTTAAAAATAAAATGCATATTTCAGCTCGTAGCTCCTGGGAGAGATTCAACAAGCATTTTTAAAGTAATCGTTTTAGAAAAACGATGGACGGTGTACCGAAAACTCTACTAAGTATCTAGGTATGTTTCGTCTATGAAACTTGTCAACAGACCTCTCTAGTCTAAAGTCTTTTACACAGCGCTATCGCATTATTTTATTATTATTTGTTTAAAAACATTTTATATTTTTTTTTATTCTTGGTGCCATTAAATCTTAGATCCCATCAAAAACATTCACTTGTAAAAAGAACCAAGTCTCGCCACTCAGTTCTTCTACTGTAAAAAGTTGTGAGATCCATGAGATGCCAAGTCGGTTATTGATTTATTCAAGGACTACTTCAGGGAACTGTCATCATAAGCTATTGCGTAATTAGGTAACAGACATCCTCTTATAGTAACCATATCGATATTTAAAAACTTATATATTTACAATAACTAGAATGACCCGGCCATCGCACCAGACCATCATATCTCACAAGCAAATAGTGTGCGATTGCCAAAATATATTTAAAAAAAAGTTAATTACATAAACGTTTGACATAAATCGTATTCATATGACAATAAGGTCGCAATTCGTATTGTCCGAATGCATGCGTTACACAGCGCAAAAGTAACGCACAAACGAACGTTAGGTACCTACTAGTGTTTCTCGACTAAATTGGATATCGTTGAAAAGAAGACAATAGGCCATAAGAACAGGTATAGGCAATAAGACAATATCATACATCACAAAGAAGAACGAATCAATAATTTAATATCTACCAGAGTAATCATAATGACTTCACTTCCTAAACTTATTCAGTCACAGGTTAAGCGCCGAAATGAAGGTCATTGCCCCTAACCTTGAACGCAAGGAACCTGCGCGTGACACTATCGTAATTAATGAGTACCTAATGAGCCATTACTTCTTACTAACTAGTTATTTCACTTAAAAGGATCTTGTCTAAATGTACGTCTCTTCAGCAAGCCCAATCGCAATCGTCAAGCAAGTGATTTATTTGATATACCAGAATTTAGTGCGAAATTAGTGCAAACTACTTCTAAAATGTGAAAAATTGTGCCATATCATGAAAGATATGAATGTTTTACTATCTTGTAGAAATTTTCCACAAGATAGTAATTTCGAATACTTGATGTTTTTAATCAAACACTAGATATTGGTATTATTGTTAATACAAACGAAACAAGTGGAAAAAATTCACGCCACCGGCGGGATTTGATTCACAAATCGGAAAAAGCTCCATCTCTCGTCAACTTGTAGGGGAGAGGGGGGCGGCTTTGCACAGGGGCAGCTATGAACAAGCTAAATACTGTCTACGTGTTTAATGCAATAACGATGGAATAGGCTTTAATTTAATGTTCACAACTGTCAGCATCCCTGTCATCGACAATTTTGCGAAGTCAACAAAAAACGCGGATGTTATTGGCTGTTTTTGTTTTTGGATGTGCTCGATGTACATTTTTTTCAAAAGTTGTAAGGGTTTTTCGGGTTATTCTTGGTTTTGGCGGATTTACACGTATATTTATCCTAATTTGTATTTATTTATACGTCCATTTCACTTATTATTTAAATCCTAGATAAAGACTTTATTTAAAATTCTAATGAAGAAAGCTATAAGGTATGCTTGGGGCAGCTTTCAACAAATTTTAAGGGGCACATTTGAACATACAAAGTTGAACCTAAAATAATATTTTAAAAATTAAGTTCAAATAAAGGATTGATAATATTTATAATCGTTTAGCTACGTATCATTGTTTTGTTTTTTAGTGATTTAGTTAAAAAATCTTTATTAGATCGAAAAATATTGAGTCTTTAGTGGTCAAAAATAATAATGAAAAAATCTGTAGCATTTTTCACGCAAGTTAGTTATATCAGAAACTAAAGTCAAACACAATCAAAATGCAAGAAATATGCATATTACGATGTTATAAATATTAAATAGGAACAGTAAAAAACTACTTGTTCAAAAGTGCCCCAGGCTTGTTCAAATCTGCCCCGGGGTGGGGCAGCTTTTAACGCTTTCCGCGCTTGTAGTAAAACCGACGTAGCACATTTTCGTGAAAAGCTATTTTATTATTAATACAGTTTTTATCATCCCAGATAAGTTACCTAATACACCATCCACAAAAATATTAAGATAGTTAACTATTTTGGAAGTTACAACATGTTTTGTAAATTCTGTACAAAGCTGCCCCCCTCTCCCCTACATACGTAATGTTGTCAGTTGAGTGACTGTATAGTTCTACTAAATAGTCATAGATGGTGCTAAAGCTACTCGAAAGTAGTCAAGTAATAAAAAATATATATGTACGAAGCAAGGGGTTCACAAATTCGCCACCTCGGGTAGAAGCCAAAACGTGGTGTAGTGGCTAGCACGTCTGACCCGGCTTGTCAGAAGACGTGGGTTCAAATCCCGCCGGTGGCGTGAATTTTTTTCCACTTGTTTCGTTTGTATTAACAATAATGAAAGATATGATTGCTGACGAGATTTTCGTCAGCTAACCCATGGTTTTTAGCTCATAGCGTCTTTTGTGTTACGGTAAAAATTAATATTTTACAGGTAGATTGCACTAATTTTGCACTAAATACTGGTAGATCAAACGTATCCTTAGCTCGAATGGGCTTGCTGACGAGACACACACCTTGACTAGCGTCGTCATCGCTTAAAAATTCATTAAACAATTCAAATTCATCAATCAAGTAAACAATAATTTACCTATTGAAAATCTGTTTAGTTAAATTTATATTGAAGTAACTCGAAATTTATTTTAATGATAGTAAAATTAATAAAAGGTTCACTGTGTTATGTTATCGGTATTACTCTATAGTTAGGTTAAAATAAAAAAAACAACGTAAGTAGGTACTTAGACGACTCAACTTTAAACATAATTATTGCATGCAGAATAAAAATATGCTTACGTGCTAAATTCGCTTCTCATGGTCCATAACCTTGCAGCAAAGGACATTGTTATTATAGGTTTCATTTTTATCGAGCCCACACTGCATGCTGGCAACAGCCATCAATATCAACGAGAGTGAGAGTTGTTTCCACTTTAAAAATGTCGTCAACATGCATAGAGAACCGTGGATTTGGGTACCCCTAAACCTTTAGGATAACTCTCCAAATACCTACTTAAAAGGTGCATGCAGACTGAACTAAATAACTGAAACTGAACAATTTTCCTCTCGGACCGTTAAGAAACGAAAGAAAGTAAGTTTATTTCCCATACCTACAAATATTACAATCAGCTGAATGCATTTACTACAGTTAGAAGTCAATCAAAAAATATTTTAGCGTTTCCAATATTTTCTTATGGGAAATTGTTCAGTTTTATGGTTTGAATGTACTTCATCCATCAGTATTCGAAGCTGTCTCTTACACCCTGCAGATGATAAGCCCTGTAAGAGAGAATGCATCGCAACTGTATAAAAAAGTACCTATTTAGGTTTACGTAGAAAATCTCACTTCAGATTTGAAATTTATACCTAACACAATGTTGTTAGCTGCAGCAATAGCCGGTTACATTAACATTACATTTTATGATCCATTGTAAGATAGCAAAGTACGTAGTATCAGTAGTAGGTAGGTACTACTACTACCTACAGGTCATTCGATTATAAACTTTATACTATTTGGTAGATAAAATTAGAAATGGACATTACGTAGATAGGTAAATCCTTACACATCTATCTTAGTAAGAAATCAACCTTTTGCTGAAACATTTTATAAGATCTGTAGCAATAACTTCTTACAAAATTTTAAAGCCCAACTTGGATTCATTATTACCGACGTCTTTTCTGCTAATTCTCATTACATTGAAGATTCGCAGGTAAATTCATCTGCGTATAGGTTTTACAGTCTCTTATTTTAGATTGCATAAGATATGACAACACGCGCAGAAAATATTCTATGTCATATTCATTCCGAAATTCTATGATTGAAACTATTAGACTGATGTGTCAGATCAGAACCGTCAAGAAAAAGCCTCAATAACATTGAAAGTGCACAGAAACTGTTCGTTTCGTGTGATTTGATTAATAGACTAAAATGACATTTCGTTCACAGATATAGGCATACCTAACTATAAGTTAGGTACACACGATAGTACGAGTGAACTATTTAAAAAGCATGAATAAAAACGACATTACGGTGCGCGCAGCCACCGTCACGCTGGGTAGTATCGATGCGCTCAATTTGATACGCGTTTCCGTTGCGTTTTTACAATCTGCAATACTGTTTGGTATTCGCTGACTGACAAAACATTGTGAACTATGATTTTTACAACATATAATAGGTACTTACGCATGACATAATATAAAATATCAGCTTAGATCTGAAATCGTAACTACCTGAAATAATTAAAACAAGTTGAAATATGACAACTTGCATGTATAATCGTTAATGTCATACTCAAATATTTCAAAACAACGCACAACTAAAAACTTTTTGGTTGTGAAAGTGTACACAATCAAAAAACTGGCGTGTGTAAGTGAAAACATTTTAACATTATAGTATCTTTAATTAGGAGAACTTCGTTCTACATACGCTATACTAAGTACATGAAAAGTATACAGATTTTGCGACAGCATGGTAGATTTGTAGCGGATGGTGCAATACCAATCATAACAACCACGTATTGGATCCGAGTGACTACATCTTTGCATCACATAGGTAACTGCGGTTAATAAGTAATGTCGGTAGAGCCGTGTCGTAGAAAAGTATCGCCCCATTTCTACCCGTGGGTGGGTGCCGTAGATGGCGGCTAAGGCATACCTAAATCCTGGAGGCCGAAGTCTACCAAATTTTGTCAAGTACCTATGTCAGTTGGATGGTTTTAGTAGTTTCATATTGTGCTAGCAGATTTTAGTATAAAAAATCACAGTGGCAAAAGAATGAAAATTTATTGTCGCTGGTATTACAATGCCTACACTGAGAAAAATCGTGGCCTAATAAGTTACCAACTTGCTTATTAGGAAAAAATATATTTGAGTCATATAAGAAAATTTTAAGAGCAACAATTGATAGTTCTATATTACAAATAAGCTTAAATGTTAGAACGTCTTATTAATATATTATATTAATTCTAATAAGCTTACTTCGTTAACTTCAGAACGTAGCCTATTTTAATGATAACTTATTAATATGTATCAAGTTGCTTAAATGTTAGTAAAAATTATAATTATTTGATCTAAACCTGACTTTTATGCATATTATTAGCAACATTTTTGTTTAAATAATTAGACAGTCATTATTAGTAAAAAGTTTTTTAGTTTATTCGATTACTGTACTTCATTTAAACGAACGCGCCCTTTAGTGATTGAGATGATCGATTTGACAGTTCAAACAATTTGTTGTGTGCACGCACCAAGCGCATCAGATCATGTTAAAATACGTTTTAGTTTGTTTTCGGCCGGCACCCAGCGTTTACGTTATTTTGTGTGCGAGTGAAAAGTGATTCTCGTATTCATATTGTGTTGTGATTCAAAAGTGCATAATATAATAATATACGTACTGCAGTTCGCCTTCCAAATGGATGAGATATTGGAGCTTCTACGAGCCTGGGGACTCCCAGAGCTAGCACCATTTTTCATAAGTAAGTACTCAGTACCTACCTAGCTGCCTATAATTACAAAGCCTTTAAGGACCTATTCAAGAGTAGGAGTCCCGGAATACGGCATCCCTCCCGCCATCTCGGAATGCCGTACGGCAGCCCCCCTAGGTGCACTCCAACTGTGACCCAAGCCTGTCTCCAGAGTAAGGGTGCGTCTCCACTAAAGTGGAGCTGAGCTGAGCTAAGCTGAGCGGGGCATAAATTTACAAATCATCATGTTCCAGTAACGTGGGCCGCAGATATCAGGTTTCATGATTGCTCAGTTCATGCCCCGCTCAGCTCAGCTTCAGTAGAGACGCACCTTTACTCTGGTGACAGGCTTGGGTCGGCAATAAGGTAGATTGCGGCAAGGTGAGGTAGCATGGAGTAAGATGATGCAAGGTGGGTAGGGTGAGGTAAGGTAGGGCTGGGTGGGGTAGCGTGACTAAGGGAGTAGAGTGGGGCAAAGAAGGATGGAGCAATGTTTTGCAGGTTTGATATGCTGGGTATGTAGGGTGGGCAAGGCAGGGTAGAGTGGGGCAAGTAAGGATAGGGTGGAGCAGTGTATGTAGGGTGGGGTAAGGTGGGGCTGGTTGCGGCAGCGTGAGCCAGGAAGAAGTAGAGTGGGGACCTATAGGGTAAGATGGATTAGAGTGGGGAGTTTTGATAGAGTGGGCACGCTGAGTGTGTCGGGGCAACTAGGGTAGGGTGGGGCTAGGTTTGGCAGGGTGGGGTAAGGTAGTGCAAGGTCGAACAAGGTGGGAAAGGGTGGGGTAAGGTGTGATAAATGACACATAGTACGCACCTACTTATTAAACTTCTATGAATGTTGTATTGCAGGATATACCCATGCTTATTGACGACTTTCTCCAGTCAAATGGAAGCGGAGCGTCAAGTGGAAGTGGAATGTCAAGCGGTACCTGCGTTCACAAAAACCAGCGAACGTCACCAATCTCTTCTTTAATAAGTGATGTCGAAAATAATGTAAGCACATCTACATGTTTTTTTATCTAATTACGCATTGCAAACCAAAGTATGAAGCTGCTTTTAATAATGGAGATCTACTGTGAAGGTTTTTAAGTAATGTGATTTTGCAACATTTTTTTTTGTGTTACAGGATCTTTTTGAAATACTGCAAAACAATGTAGAAACAACGGGTTTATTGCGATATAAAAGCAAATCTTTAGAAATTGAAAACGAAAGAAACCCTTTAGCTGCAACAATTTCTTCAAAATTGATTGGAACGTTTAGTAAAAAAAAGGCGATGAAAGACGATGGTTTCTTGGCACAAATCATTGATTTGGCAAAAGGTTGGTATAACAAACATTCAGACATACTTATTTTATTTCTTTGACCATCGATTGTACCCAAAATAAGCTCCGGAACTATTTACAATTTATACAAGTCACAATAGGTTTACTCATTCTAAGAAAAAAAAACCAACAATAAACCTACACAAATGAGACTACATATTACGATTTATAACACTCATTTTTAATTCGAACTATACTTATACTAAAAGCATTTTGCAGAATTCTTCTAATTTAGTGTACCTACTAATTTAATTTGTAATTTTAGATACAAACGAAGAAAACAGGAACGAAGGAAGTTGCCTGAGCTTATTAGTCCCAGTATGGTGGCATTGCCCGGCCAGTCAACCTCCAAAGTCCAAGAAACGCAAGGACAAAAGGTGGAAGCCTGCAAAAGCAGAAAGCAGGGAAGCATTCATCCATATTGTACACGATGATGAGTAGGTATACATACACCATATCCCCGGTGAGTTTGGGGCAAGGTTGAGCAGGTGGGGCAAGATGTGGCATGGTAAGATTTTGCC